TGGAGCATTTGGTGCAGGTTTGGACGTGGGCACTGGATACGGAGCTGGCGGTGGAGAGTGCGATACAGCAGGAACGGCACTGTGGATTTTTGTGGGGTCCTGGAGGCCATAATCTGATTTTGGTGTAACAGCAACCCCAGGAGGTAGCGTCACCTCGTAGCTCCCCGGACTGGGAGTGTTATGGTGATGCCTTAATACTTAATTCCTCATCATGAAGAAGATGGTCAGGTCCTTGCTGATAATCAGCCATATTCCTGGTGGAAGATGCGGAAGAGGATGATCTTCAGTGATTGGATGAAGATCTAGCTGACTTACAGGCCTTGGGGTAGTAAAATGAACGAAGGAAGTGGAGGTCTTTGGTGTTGATGGAGGAGACGGCTCTGTTAGATGGTGCAGCTGAGGTTCTGGGTGTTCATGAAGATAAGATTCATGGGGAAAAATTTGTGTTACATGCTCTGGCACAGATGGGGGATGAGTGGTGTGATAATGAACAATGGGTGAGTTTGTTGTGTGGGGGAAATGAGGTAAGGGGTGGTGCACCTCTCCAATGCTAGGTAGATTTGCTTTTTCATTATAGTGATGAACCAAGTGATCCTCATGATGTGGTTGTTCATTAGGAACCGAATATCCTGCATGCTCTTTTTGGCGTGACTTATGGAAGTCCTGTATGAGAACAAATGGATTATCATCATTCCCAAGGTATGAAGGATGGGAAGCTGGCAAATGGTGCTCAGATTCGTAATATGGAGTTACTGGTTCATATTGCACCTTTGGTGTTACCGGAGGATGAGTGGAATGTGTTACTGGTTCATAGTGTGACTTCGGTGTAACTGATGGGTATGTTTCTGGTGTATAATGTGGTTTTGGTGTTACTGGGAAATGTGTTTCTGGGTCATAGTGTGACACTGGCGCTACTGGGGAATAGGTTACTGGTTCATAGTGTGACACTGGTGTTATTGGAGGGTGATCGAAATATTTTACTGGTTCAAAGTGATCCTTTGGTGTTATTGGGGAATGTGTTGCTGGTTCATAGTGAGACTTTGGTGTTACTGGTTCATGATATGACACTGGTGTTACTGGGGGGTGATGGGAATATGTTACTGGTTCAAAGTGAGACTTTGATGTTACTGGGGAATGTGTTGCTGGTTCATAGTGTGACTTTGGTGTTACTGGGGAATGTGTTGCTGGTTCATAGTGAGACTTTGGTGTTACTGGTTCATGATGTGACACTGGTGTTACTGGGGGGTGATGGAATATGTGTTGGTTCAAAGTGAGACTTTGGTGTTACTGGGGGGTGATGGGAATATGTTACTGGTTCAAAGTGAGACTTTGGTGTTACTGGGGAATGTGTTGCTGGCTTATAGTAAGATGTTGGTGTCACTTGTCGTGTAGGAGTTTGAGTTACAGATTTATAATAAGATTTAGCAGTTACTCTATAATGGGCGGTGTGAGACAGTGGTGTATGATGTGTCTTGGGTGTTACTGGATGATTAGGAGCAGCTGTGACTGGTTCATAAGTTACCGACTTAAAATCAGACTCTGGTGCTACCGGAGAGTGAACTGAATGGATATCTGCTTTATAATGTGATTTGGAAACTACCGAATGATGAGGTTCTGATGTTAAATGATCATGCTGACTTAGAATTGTCAAATGGTGTTCTGGTATTGTTTCATGTGGCTCTTTTGTGGTGTATGTGTGAGGTGGATGATATGATGTAATATGGTGTGGATCCTCGTGGTACTTGGTGGTTGGGGCGGAATAGTTCTTGTGTGGAGAGTCATGTTTGACCGTGAGGTGGTGAGATATATGGGTTTGCTGGAGAGGATGGGGATGATCTGGCCCTTTGTAAGGATGAGGAGATGGGTGAGAAACTGGATGAGATTTTAGTACGGGGTTATTGTCATTCCCCTTATAATGAGGGCTGGAGGATGGAAGGTACCCATGAATTTTATGAATGGGTGGTGTATCATGTTTTGGCTCCACTGGATGATGGGTAGGTGGATGATTGTTGTGTTCCTCATGGTGAGTGTTAACGTGGATGACAGTGTAGTCATCTTCTTCACTGTCTTGCAGTTGATACTTGGATCTGCCACCGTGGGGGACAGGTTCAGTGGTGAGGTGAATTATAGGAACCTTCGGCTGCACAGTAGGATGCAGAGTGTCTGCTGGAAGGTGAGGGTTGCGAAATCGGTCAAAACGCGAGGCCAAGAAGCGATTGCGCCGCCGTCGCCTCATCGGGAACCTGAACTTCCTCCTCCGCTGATGACGAGGCTCTCTCAGAGTATCCACTGGAAAGCGGTGATGATGTGGAAAGTCCTGGTTATGTTGGTGCAAAGGTACTGTTAGCGGTGGTGGCTGAGCTTTATAAGAGGGTGCTGGTGAGGGCAGTAGAGCATGGTTGTATCCTAATGATGGCGATTCAGATTTCTGGTAGACGAGAGGCCGCGAGGATGCTACAACACGATGGGGATACTGCTGATGTAACAGATACCTGATCATCATACTTTGCAGTAGTCACTGAACTGTATGTGGTAAACCAGTGGTGAGCTTGTTGGTGGTGAAAAATTATCTGAATTTCCTATAGATAATGCAGAGGCTTCTGAAAAGGTTATCTTGTGAGCCTCTGGCCCATCATTGACATAGTCTGATGATTTTTCCCTAATATTTTCTAGATAATGATTGAGAGGAAGGTTTATGTTGAAGGTAAGCTGAACATTTGAAATATCGCTAGCATGGTCCTGAGTGACATAGTCAGTGAAAGATGAATTGTAACTAGTGACAGCATATGGAATAATCGAAGCATGGGAACCTTGTGCTTCCTGTACATTATCGTAGTAATAAGAACTAGACTTAGAACTGCTTGAAGCTACTAAGGATTCGTTCCTGTTGCTCAAAATTGTACTGATGTCTAAGGTTTGATTCTCTGTGTGTGAAATGGAAACATTTTCCCCTTGAAATAGACCATGTGTATATGGGTAACTATAACTGTTTACATTGCTTGAACTTGTGTATGGTGAGTGTAATGGGATGTCTGTTTGGTGTATGTAGGGGCTGTCACAGTAAGGTTGGGTCCCGTCGCATATACTCCCGTCGGGTCTCTGGTTGTTGGTCGTGGATAACCAGGTAAGAGACCATTGAAGGACTTATTCCCACCTGTGGGTATAGGAAGACGAGAATGAAGTGACTTTTCTCCTGTCGGGGCCAAGGTGGTGGAAGAGGAGACTGGGTGATGGAGTTCGTGATTAGGGAAGCCATGGGGAGAAACCTCTATTGATGGGTTATAGTGATGCTAGAGGATGTTGGTGAACGAGAGGAGGTCCCTGATGGCTTTGAGGGAGTGGTAGACAGTATTTCCGTCATTGGGAATGTTTGAAGAGGATGTGGGAGGTATACTTGATGTTGGAAGGTGTGTTAGGGAGGTAGAAGACGTGAGGGATGCAGCATATTTCTCATGATGACTCAGTGCAGGCTTTTCTGAATCACCATAAGTCTCATAAGATTCAGAACTGAACGCTGTTTCTGTAATATCCCCGGTGATGGAAGATGCCTTTGGTAAGGCAGAAGTAATAGAAACTAGAGGAGAAACACTCAGGGGAGGTAGGGGTAGAAGAGGGAGGGCGTGGACGGCGTTTGCGGAGTATGGGACGAAGATTCTTTGACCGAAGTGAGGAAAGATTTCTTTGAGAGGGATGAGGCCGCGAGGGTCGTCGCTTCCTCATAACGACACGGCGACGAGTCGGCGGAGGAGAGGGAGACGAAGGCAGATAGGTTGTATGAATGAGGGAAGGAGTTTGAGAAGGAGAAGGTGATGGAGAAGAACGAGGTATTGCTGTCTGAGGTGTAAGAGATGAAAGAGTAGAGGGAGGATTTTTGTTTGATAATGTAGGACGCCGACGAGTTGGCCGACGTTGACGATTAAATGGCCGACGTCGACGCTTCGGTAATTTAGTCGCTTTTACATCTATGTTCTTCTGCAGAGGAATTCTTGTGCTTCTAAGAATTCCTGAAGAAATTTTTGGCTTTTCAAAACTTTCAGCATGTGCTTTAATTGAAATACTTCCTTCTGGAATTACTGGCAGTATTGCTTGTGAAACATCATCCGGTGATGTTGTACTGAACGATGATTTGCTGTGACTTTTCTGGTCCTCGTTTTCTTGTTTACCGTTATCAGTTAGTTCACTTGTAGTGATCAGAGATTTTGTGTCATCATAAATATCAGAAAATGACAATGGAGAATGCGGTTCCTCGTCCTTTTCCCTCGGGTTTGTTCGTTCACCAAACACAGACTCCTGAGAACCGTATTCGGGTAAAGCAGTTGTGAGTGTTATTTGACTTTTCTGCTGTGATTTGGAATTTATGTATGGTCTAGGCTTTGGCTTTTTGAATGGGTACAGATCTAGTAATGATTTCCCTTCAGGTAAAGAAGATGAAACGATTGTGGAACTGACGTCTTTTATAAACTGGCTTGTTGGAATGTTGTCAGAGGAACTGAGGGGTGTAGGTAGCGAGGTTACTTCTATATCTTGTGTGATGTTTTGTCGCTGATCCTTCTGTTGCTGTAGAGGATGTTCAGGCTTTGGAGTATCGGATTCCTTCAAGGCAGACGCAGTGTGTACATGCTGTGAATTACTCTCACGATCCCTTGAATAAGGGGGTCTTTGCACAATAGAATCAGACTTTTGACTGGTGTTCGGGAATGGTGACGCCAGTTTATTTATAGCAGGAACTGGAGTACTTGGATGCCTTACTCTAGGATTAGTTGGATATGAGTCCTTTTCTGTGAAAGACCCGAGTGGTTTAGGAGCATCAGGACCAGCTGTAGTCATGTACGCAGGAGTGACACCCAAGTACTTCCTAGTGTAAGGATTTTCACTGTACAAGTGCGAGTTATTTCTTCTGAAGCCAGATAAGTGTGTGAATGAATCGAGATAGTATCGGCGAAGAATTTCTTGGGTAATACGCAGTTTTGTCATTGTATTGGGTTTTAGGACTGAGGTACTCAAGTTGTTCTCGTGTGTGAGGTAGCAGAGCTGCATTTAAGCCAGTGTGTGCAGTGTTGTCGACATTCGGCCCAAAGAACGCCCTGGATGTGACAGGTGGGTTTACGTGGAAGAACGACGAGCCAGGGTAGTAGTTGTGATAATATTGTGGAAGATATGAAGCATAGTAGTCACTTGGGTTGATCGGCCTGTGGACATCATATTGTTGTTGTTGATATTTACTTGGGGAAAGAGAATCTGTAGGAGCTGACAAGGGAGCGCCATCAGATTCAGCATAATCATCTACATCTTCATTGGAATAGAACGTGATGGCTGGTTTCTTGAAGGGTGCCATAGTCTTTGGATAAGAGGGCGTGGGGGAGCCTCGGTTGTCTGTGGCAGCAGCTCTGTTTGAAGGTGTTGTACTATATCTTGGTGATGCAGTTGTGTAGGCTTTCTGAGTAATCGCCGGTCTTGGTGTAGAGTGATAGGCTGGTTCAGGTTTTCTGTAAGCTTTTGTTACAGAAACATACTTAGGGTGTGAAGTAGTGTATGTTCGGATCTGAAGCATATGCTGGTGCAGAATGCACGTATGTCTTTGGAGTTGTAGTATACTGTGGCTGTGGTGTTGAATACGTATTGATTGCTATGCTCTTGGGAGTCGATGAGTATGCTGGTGCTGATGTGTATGAATAAGGAACAACCGTATTTTGAGGACGTATAGTTGACCTTTTATGCGAAGCAACATGATCAACAATGTCTTGAGGCTGAGGAGCAGATAAGTATTTTGACGTTGTGACTTCAATGTTATCGTTGTAATTATAAGCATAGGGAGTATCGTCATCATAATCATATGCGTGTTCTGCGTGAGAATACTTAGAGGAGGAATTATAGTTAAGAGAATGTGAACTCTTAAGTTTACCCTTATCATGTTCTCTATGCAAATAACGGTCATAGAAAACGTCCTCGTATTCGGGGTAACTATAATATTGTGAATGATCCTTGTATCTATTTCCAGACGATATTCTTTCATCCCTGTAATATTCGGCCGCGAAATCGAGGGAAGGATTGAAGGAGGGGGATAAGAAACCAAAGGAGAAGAGGATTTAGAAGGATTGATTTTCATGCTCCAGTCTTGCTCAGAGTTGATGAAATCTGTGTGGAGGGTGAGAATGAAAACAGTTAACTTAAAATAACACGTAGAATTGGAAAGACTGGAAATATGTGTAAAAAGTAATTACTAGCACATTTCAAATGTATCTGATGACCCATAATACATAATACTAACATGGAAATTGCCTGTAAATAATGTGATTAAGTTTGACATTAATATGTATATGTGGAGAACCTGTAATATTAAATCCTATTTCGTTGTAAATACGTTTTAGTATCAGGAGAAAGTTTACTTTTTATAATAAAGAGGGAAACACAAAACATATTTTCGCCTCAGCGAATCATGGAAAATCATGGAAATTGAATTTGATATCTCCAGACCTGGAATTTCTCTCTCTCTCTCTCTCTCTCTCTCTCTCTCTCTCTCTCTCTCTCTCTCTCTCTCTCTCTTCTCTCTCTCTCTCTCTCTCTCTCTCTCTCTAAAAAAGTGTGACAGATTTAATTCTTTTTTAAATTTTATATTCAGAGAAAGTCACCAGAAATAAAGGAAGAATGAGGTAACTAAATGAAAAGCTAAAATATTACATAGCCTAAATTGATACATTCTGATCCATTATAAGCAACTAGTCATTGAAGTGTCAATAAAGCAAAGGAAGTCATTACTTGAATCTTACATTTAACAACATAAACTTGGAATTACAGTCACTGTACATGTTGTAATCGGATATATGTATCGCGAATATGTATCAAATGCTCAAGAAAAACTGTTACGAGTCATGGAAAAATGCCAAAACCTTTCTGGAAAGTCATGGAATGTTGATACCAAAAAAAGTGAACGAACCCAGAATGAACAAAGTCTTTCCTGGTTGACAGAGATTTACCACCTGAAGACTAAGAGACTAGAGCGAGTTATACCTGAGGGATGGAAGGTGCAGGAGACTTACCTGGTGCGCCGAAAATGGGGCTTTGGGTGGTGAGGCGGGGAGTGAAGAACGCGCCTCTGGGAGGGGACTGTGAAAGCAGAAAGGGAAGTTGTGGGAGTTGAAGGGGAAGCAGAGAGAACTAGGGGTACGATTTTCTGCTTGGTGGAGTGATGACGAAAGTTCATTTACATGTCTTTGGTGTCTCTACAGATGATATCCGCACTCGTCATCACTTCCCTTTGCAGAGGAGCTTAACAGTAAATAGTATTTCTATTTAAAGAGAGTATGCTTATTTTGTTATCTGAGGTAACCCAATAGAAATCAAAGAATCCTATTTATAATCAGGCGTAGGATTGAAGAACGGTGAGAAACAAGATAGATGGAGACTATATTCTTCTTTTGGGTCTTACAAGTAGACGTAATTGTCAAGACTGCACATAATGCACAGCAGCCAGTGTGCAAAAATCATGTGAAAAAGCAACTC